TAAGGTAAAGATGAAAATGATATATTATTCACATAAAATTCATGATGTCCTTGTCACTAGATGAATAGTATTCTATTCTGTAAATGAACCACATTTTCTGTATTTTTTCCTCATTTGTGGGACATCTGGGTTGTTTTCAGCTTCTGGCTATCACAAATAAGGCTGCTATGAACATAGTGGAACACGTGCCCCTGTGGCATGGTCGGTCATCTTCATATGCCCACGGATGATATAGCTGGGTCTTCAGGTCGAGCTATTTCTAATTTTCTGAGGAATCTTCTGATTGATTTCCAGAGTGGTTGTACCAGTTTTAGACCAACGTTTCACATAACAAACATCAGTTTATTACTCCTAGAATGGCAAGCCACCTCAAGACAGATTAGGCAGTAAACAACACAAGTCTTAGCATTCAATATTGAGTGACTCAGATTCCAGCTCTGAGTCCCAGCCCAATGGTATGGTAGACAGCATCCTAGAACCTTCATCTGTAAAACTGACTAAAGAGCACATTACCTTTCAGGGATTACTGCAAAATTAGGGGTGAAATATGTAAAACTCTGCAGGCCTACTCTGTCCCTGTTACCTAATGGACACTAAATAAACAAACATTAGTTACTGTTTCTGTCACTGGTGTTAGCGTTATTAGAGAGCCTATGCAGGATAGGTGACATCGTAACTGTACACTGGTAAACTGTTTTGATTTTTCACATCATTAGGAATAATAAGAGACTGAGACTAAGACAACTCTACTAATTAGCATCTTGTGTTGATTTCAATGATACCCCTTTCACTTGGTCTTGCTAACTCTGAACTTTGCTAATATTCAACACACCTTTTTATCTGTTTTCAAAAACAAATAAAAAATATCGTATAAAGTGCAATATTAAGGTGAGCTGACAACTGGTTTTTCTTTTTTAATTATTTATTTATTTTTAGTATGTGTGTGGAGATGTGGGGGCACCCTCAAAGACTAGAAGTGTCTGGTCCCCTGGAGCTGGAGTTAGAAGCAGTTGTGAACCTTCTAATGTGGGTGCGGGTAACCAGGCCTTGATCCTCTTCAATGACACTCTGTGCTCTTAACCACTGAACCATCTCTCCAGCCCCTAAAACTGCTTCTCTTAGTGAAGAACGGAATACCTGTTTTAAAATTGTAGCACATTACCTGTTAAGGACTATCACAAACAACAGACGCTGTTAAAAAAAAAATACAGGTTGTGATTTAGCAATTAAGAGCAAGAAGAGATGTACAGTGTAACAGGCGTCCCTCTGTCCTCAGCCTTCTGTCAGATTTCCATCAGATGTAATGGAGGCAGCCCTCAGGTGGGGTGTTCTCAAAGATTGGACACCATATTGCCCACCAAGTTTGCAGAGCAAATACATGTTGTCCCATTTATTGTATATTCTTCACGCCTGTGACTTTCCCTAAATGATTTTTACTGTTTGTTCTAATTTGTTTTCTAAGCTGTGATAAACATCACGATGAACACCAACTTAAGGGTTTTATTTATACTGTCTCACAGCTCATAGTCTATCATGAAGGGAGATCAGGGCAGTAACCCTGGCAAGCAGGAACCTGGAAGCAGGAATTATAACAGAGACCATGGAGGAATGCTGTTTACTTGCTTGCTCCCCATGGTTGGCTCAGCTTGTTTTTTTCATATGACCAAGGACTACCTACCCAGGGGTCACATTGCCCACAATTTGTTGGGCTTTCTCACATCAATAATTAGTCAAGAAAATTCCCTACATATTTGCCCACAGACCTGTCTGATGGAGGCCTTTTTTTCAATTAAGAAGTTGTCTTTGAAGATGAGCCTTACTTGTGTAAGGTTGACAATAAAAGCAAAACAAAAAAGTCCAGCAACAAGAGAAAAGTCCAGCATGCTGTTTTCTGACATTTTATGTATTTCACTTCCCCTAGAAAGAGTGGGGCCCAAAAGCTTCTGAATCATGTTGGGCTGTAGTTAAGGACATTTACACAATCTTCTCCCATCTAATTTATCTCAGACATTTTATTCCAGGAAACCTTCCGAGGGCAGAGGGGAAAGTCCATTCACCCCGATCATAGTCTACCCTGCCCTGCTGCACGTCAGCTCAGTGGCTGACCAGTGGCAAAGTTTTAGTGAAGGTCTTTTTTTTCATTATTTTAAAGTTCAGGGATACAGTGTTTCTGAACAGAAAAAGCTGCACCAAATAGCTTTGAGAACAGGTTTGATAATTTTTTAAAGAACATTTTTTTAATATTTATTTACCTTATGCATGAGTACACTGTAGCTGTCTTCAGACTCACCAGAAGAGGGAATTGGGTCCCCATTACAAATGGTTGTGACCCACCATGTGGTTTCTGGGAATTGAACTCAGGACCTCTGGAAGAGAAGTCATTGCTTCTAACCCCTAAGCCATTTCTCCAGCCCTTGATAATGTTTCTTAATGAATCTACCCTAAAATTACATGGTTTTCAAACTTGCTTGCTTTCAAAACTTAAACTGTTGTGAAGCCATTCAATAGTAACTAATATTTCACTCATGGTTTATCAAGCTGCTTGTGCATGTCTCATGCTGCCGTGTTGAAAAGAAGAAAAGATGTTTTTATTTCCATGAAAGTTGTAGTGAATACATTTTTTGAACTGAAATTTTAGTTCAAAAACTTCAAGGCAAGGGAAAAGGAGACTCATACCTTTCAAATTCTTTTTAATACTACAACTAAGGAGCTTTAGTTTAGAAATGGTTAACATATTCCAAGAAAAGAATCTGACGAGCTTCAATGAGTCTCCCCTAAGAAATGGGTAGTCCCATTAAAGTCATAGGTTCATGGATTTGTTTCAGCATTTTACAGTACCTGTCTGCATAAAAATATATTCTAGTGACAAAGTGTATGCCATTATCAGGTAAGTATTTGCAACTGAGTCATGTTTTGGCTGTAAAGTAAGCAAAAGAATTAAGAATCCTGTTGTAGCCAGGTGATGTGGTGCACATCTTTAATCCCAGCACTCTGGAAGAAGAGGCAGGTGGATCTCTCTAAGTTC